AGGTAGTCTTAGTCCAAACACAACAGTGGATACGTAGCTAAGAAGGCAATATTGGGACATCCACAACCCTGATGGATGCCAATGCTCAACAATTTGGGGATCAAATGTTTTCACACATTCATGTAGTACCACGACTAGCGGTAATTTAAATGCATATCGAACCGCATCTGCTGCCCAGGGTGCATTCGGTCGGCACACACNNACCACGGAGATTTCTTACGAAGGATGTATCAGATAAATATACATATTACCACTGAGGCTCTTCAGTAGCGAGTGACATTGACAAAGGAAAATGAATTCAAATTTTATCAACAACTCAAGTCGTCCAAACCATTTCACGGAGATCATAATCTACGTTGTTGTCCCACCCACCCCCTCTCTCTGTGGTTAACCACTCTTTTCTCCTTTTCTTCTTTCATCAAATAAAAATGTGTGACCTGTCAGCCGCCAAGACTTCGCTCCAGTGTTTCATCTCGGACAAAACAGCCACCGCCAGAGAAAAAGAATTGATTCGAGTCATGAAAGGCGAGGACGTTTCTCGTAATTTCCCCGGCTCAGTCAAAGTTTCGTTGCCTCAAGGAAAACCAATAAAGATCAAATAAACACAGTGTCTTATTTGGAGTGACAGTTCCGATAAAGTCATCTTCTCTTGGCTGTGCGTGATATTCAACCTACTTGGTGGCCACCTGTTTACCCGCCGCCGGGGCGGGATGTGGATCGTGATTCTGTACAGACCTACTTATCCCTCTTCCCAAGTTTCGGACCGGTATGGAGTGCAATATAATTGAAATATATTTCGCTATCATGTCGGGCGCTCCTTTCCTGGTTTTCTTTTGCATTCCAGTGATTTCATTAACGTTATACATATAATCAGTTTTCCTTAACTCATATTGTTCGATTAATATCCGATGGGTTTTCCAGTGGCATCGTTGATCATGGGCTACGCTTTCATGATCATCTGGGATTTCGCCCTTCATGCTGAAAGCACAACGGCCATGGAATCGTTTTCTGGATTTGGGAATGACCACTTCCCAAATACATATGAATATCACACATTTAACGGAGTTACCTGGGCGTAGTGGTGTGGGATAATTGATACCAAGTGAACTGACCATTCTTCTCGGACTTCATCTTCACGCACAGTCATCAGCTCTTCTAATCAACCATACGCTGGTGGAGCACTGTCCTCACATTTCGCTCTTATTGGAGCTCATCAGTAGTGCATTTTTCCAATGCTGCGTATTAAGTGAACTTCAGGGTATCAGATCCGAATTTGGAACGGTTCTAATTCAATAAATTGCGTTCTGTTTATAAAGTATTACACCCGTATAGAACGAGTGTTGGAATTAGCCCTAACAAGGAAAAGCGGAAAACAATTTTCGGTGAGGACGGTTCGAACATCTTGGAAGAACACTTTAAAGTCAATTAACCTGCGAACATTAAACAAACTTCAAAGAGACGATGTTTTAATGGGTATATATATATATATATATGTATATATCAAACTTGTGTAACACCCTGACTTTCATCACATTTGTTCCTCCCACCGCTTAGTGTTCCAGGTACTTTATACGGGATTCCATGTGATCTTTCCCCACATCAGACGCAACATGTTTTGCTTCTATCAGTAAAATGCAAATTAAATGTACAATTTCGGCGACGGATGCCGGTGCATCAGTTGGAAAATAACGAAGCCTGAGTAGAAAACACAATCAGAATATATCTATGAAAGTACTTACAGGGTCGAAACAGGTATTGTTCTTTCGTTTTATCAATGTCCTATCTGCCCTTCTTCATTTTTGAGCACTGCTTTTGCATGGGATCCACAAAGTTGACCGTCCAACAGAATTTGCCAGTTTCCTCTAATACATACCACGCCACAACTCCTGTCAAGGCAGCTAACGTATTCATGTTTCTAAGAGAAAAGTTTGCCATTTCATTCAAATCTCAACTGATGTGCTGTAATTAAGGGACTTCGAGATCAGACTTAGCCCATCCAAAAAATTGCATAAATGTGAGAAATACCTAATGAGGTCTAGCCGTTTTCAACTACCAACCTTAAGCGAAATGGTATACTGACCTTCATCTGTGACAAAGTTGAAATCCGCGGATGCATTTTGATGGTGACAGTTATCGAAAGCGTCTCTTATTAGTGCAATAAAGTTTGCGATACCGAAATTGGTGTGCAGAAGACCAACAGTAAAGCGCTCAGCAGTTACTTCCCTACTTACTCATTAGACGGGATGGATATTTAATTCTTTTGTCAGGTACAACGAAGTTCATTGGAAACCTAGTTCAGTAGATCTGCTTTCTGCGCCTCGAATTGTTTTTTTGTTCACAACTGAAGTGGACCAGATGCCAAATGTGTAGGTGACGCGAGTTGAATTTGTTGTGAACTTTCGAACTACGACAAATTTTATCGTGACTATCAAGCGATGATAGGAGAGAACTAAGAGCATATACGTGGAAGATAAAGTTCGGATTAAATAAGCTATACCTATTACTATCAGTATACAAGTGTCGTATTAGAAACTGAAGTATACATAAGGTTTGTGAGGAGATTTAGGGTGTGACCAGATTTAATGCTGTGTCTGTGGTTGGTTGGGTGTAAAAGTAGCATCACACCAGTGAACTGATAATTGGGCCCCACCGATTGAGTGACGCAAAGTGAAAGTTGTGTCGTTCACAATCACCTCCGAAAAGCAACCGAATCAGCGTGGGACACTACGTATCCAACCAAACACACTCACTATGATGATAGGTGAGGAGCACAGATTGGACACTCGCGGTCCGCGTCCATGATATCGCACAGAGCTCG